TCCAGAAGAGCCTATGAAAAAGACCCTGCAGTTTATATAGATTCAATTGGTCAACCAAGAGGTATACCTTATCAGTTTAAAGCAAGAGATGAAGTCAAATCAGGGACAAGGGCACCTCAGTCGTGGTATTGAAGGTGGGAGAGAGCGCTGTACATTCACTCCCCCCACCTACAATCCCTGCCGGACCTGAGACTCGAACTCGCAACCTTTGGGTTACGAGTCCGACTCTCTAACCATTAGGCCACGACTTCGAGTCTGACTCTCTAACCATTAGGCCACGACTTCCCTACCTTTTGAATCAATATTCATTTGGATTACACAAAATAAAAATACAGAATGGATCAATTACATATATTACAATCAGCAAAGATTTATTAATTACACTGATGAGGCCTTATCGCTTTTAGGAGAGCAATTGGATGCATCAAGCAGAATGTCATGGCAAAATAGAATGGCTCTAGATTATTTGTTAGCTGAGAAAGGGGGAGTGTGTGTTATGTTTGGGGATCAATGCTGTACTTATATACCAAATAATACTGCTCCAGAAGGCACATTCACTGAAGTAATGACCAAATTGAAAAACCTAAGGATTGAACTTAAAACTAACGCTGGGACAGATAATAAAATGGGGGATTGGTTTGATCTAAAGTTAGGAGCATGGGGAGCATGGGGAGCATGGTTAACTAAATTAGGAATGTTTTTAGGAGTTGCAGTATTAATAGGAGGATTACTTTTTTGCTGTGTGCTTCCCGTACTGAAGTCACTAGTTGTCCAAGCCACAGCTAGGCAAATGGAAATTCTAAGATGTCAAGATAATGAGAAATTGATTTTGAAGAGTAACCAAAATGTACATTATCAGGACTGGCCTTATGCACCCAACTGGAAGTCACAAACACTGACAAATGATGGAGACTCTAGTTCCTCAACTGAGGACGAAGAAGAAGTATAAAGATGAACCATACCCTGGGTGTAAATGCTAGCCTAACCTCTGCCCAAGGGTGGCCCTCTACGATGCACAAAATTTCTGGGCTGAAGATCAACTATGCTAATTTTTGTGATGTTACATGTTTTATGTCTTGAATTTTTATTTCTGTTGTATACTACATAACTGTGACAACCACAGGCAAGTGCTGAACCAATTGCACGCTCATGCTTATAACATTGTTTTATCTTAAATGAGGGATTAGGGAGACGGGATCTTTTACTCCCTCCTAGTCAAGTGTGGGGGGAGAGGTCTGGTCCTGCTGCTACGCCAGAGTGCTATTGCATAATCTAGTCATTGGTGATAAAACTGTGTGACTTAATTTAGTCACTAGGTAGTAATAACTGATGAGACTGAATTATGAAACTGCACTCTGGGTAAAGACAAGTAAAGGTGAGACTTAATAAGTCTCAAAGGGGAGAATGTAGAAGAGTTTAATTAATCAAAATATAAATTATTCAAGTATAATCAATGTGAATATAGCCATTTATATGTTAAATTATTCTACTATTATAATCATGTGTATTTGCCTGCGTGTATAGAAATCTGTATGAGAATGGAATGTGCAGACATATGGTGAAGCATGTGATGGGGCCCTTACTTTCACGGAACATAAAATTAAGGCCTCCTGACTGCATCGTGGTCCCATAACAAATATGTATGAATGTATTGAACACGCCTAGAGAAAAAACTGTATAAAAGAGGGTACAGAAAAAGATTCTGGAGATTGCTCTGCAGAGTTCTCTCAGTTTTATTGTCTCTGAAAATAAAATCTCTTTTGGCATCAAAATCCCAAGACTTTGAGAAAGATACCTCACAGCAGCGGCAGGAGCCACCACAATGGATGGATGGATTTTTGTATGCACAGGGATTCCGAAATCATATGGTTCACACACAGATCTAATCTCACCATCATCTAGTCCATCTGGGATTGCATAAAGAGAACAAAAATGGAGAGAGACTAAATCCTTCGGCAACATCTCCAATACACAATACACTCCAATACAACATCTCCAATACACTCCAATACATCTACCTGAAAATCTAAATAATAAAATCTAAAACAATAATAAAAAAATGGTTTCATGACATTATTTAATAAAAATACATCATTTATTTATGGCATTATTTGTGAAAGCATCCTCAATTTACAGCATTTTTCACAAATGCGTATAAATTTTTACATTTTTCGGCTTTGCAGGTTGATTTCTCCACAGGTCTTGGAAATATTGGCACAGTATGTAGCCTGTCTCTTTTTTTCTTTTCTTTTTTTTTTGTCTCTTCATGTAATCCCTGTTGGACTCTGATGGTGAGATCAGATTTCTGTGTGGTCCATACTGTTTGTTGTTGGACTTCTTGCTGCCATTTTCTCCCTGGAAGAAGAGATGTTGTATGTCAGTAGGATGTTTTCCTGGATAAATAAAGGAGTAATAATAATAATAATAATAATAATAATAATTACAATTAATTGCAAAATGTAAGTTTGAACATTTAAAATAATTTTTCTATTGGCAGACTAATGCAAACGATATAAATAACTAAATAAAAAATGTAACATGCCTAAGATTTGTGCACACTTCTGTACATATTTAAACATTCATATTCTGTCTATCTTTAGGCTCATTATAGGTGCCAGCACAATGTTTATCTCCGATTAGGCTAATCAAAGACGGCTGTCAAAAAATACATGCTGTGAAGCAAAAATGGTTTGCACTCTGGTGAAGACTATAGACAAAAGGGGAGGAACTAGTAGGTGAGTTAGAAATGCCAAGATGGGATAAAATAAGTGTATCAGAAGGTGAATAAGCAGGAGTTTGGAGAGCAAAGTTGGGAGGGAATGCTAGCGGCTTTGGAAAGGCAGGTAGAATCCTACAATGCAGCCTGTAATGACACCTGCGCCAAGCTTAAAATATCTTCAGCAGGAACACCACTTGTAGCCATTTGTTCCCCGTTGATGAAACAAACACACAGTCTCTCCAATAGTGGAGAAATGTGTTTTATGGATTCATCTGGTAACATGGACCGGGAGAACTGCAGGGTGTTTCTCCTCCTCACACACACCTGTGCAGGAAGTCTTCCTCTTGGGATAGTGATAACCAATGTTCGGCCACCTGAGCAAAAACATTCTTTATACCAGACTTGTACAGCACGTGCACAAAAAAAGTGTGTAACTTTTAACTTTAAAGTCTGCATGAAATCAAAATTGACTTAATTTACTTTACTAGCGCACATTTTATGTGAACAATTAATCCGTGCAAGTTAATCCGCTGAAAAAAATAGTTTGTCTTGGTAATCTTTAATCAAAATCTGAACATTTACTTCCGCTCTGGAATGGCATTCCTTCTCTGATGACCTCAGTTTGACAACTTGGGCAAAATATCCTTAAACACACCAATCCAACCATTAGTTTGCTATGAGTGAGAGATGAGAGGAGGAGCGCAAAAATAAAACTACGCCCTCTCCTCAATATTCCATTTCAGCTGGAAATACGTCACTTCACTGAGATAAAGTCGGCAGCAACTTCCGGTTCACGTGGACTTTAATGTGCTATTTGTATTTAATTTGACCCGTGACTAAATGATGTACATTTTAGGTTACCTGAGGAAACTTTTTTTTTTTTTTTTTTTTACAGTATAATACATTGCCATTCAAAAGTTTGAGATCAATAATGTTTATTAAAGAAACAATATTACTGTTTTTTTCTGTATTTTCGATCAAATAAATACATCCTTGATAAGCATAAGAGACATTAAAAAACAAGGTCAATTATTTATTAGGTTTATAATATAGGCCTAACATAATATAATATCAAAACAAACTTCAGCATTTAAACTAAAATATAAATATAAAATATAAAATAAAAAAAAACGTGAACGTGAATTCTTCTATAGCTATCTAAACATCCCTATGAAGTACAGTTTGCACAATACACCTGTCTGTGTGTGACTGTAAATGTCTCTGAGTTTTGTTACCGTTCTGTGCCCATCATCCGCAATTTCAAGCACTTAATCAAGTCACTCTTCTTTAATGCATGATGACGTTTTATTTCACATGTCATTGCGTTTGCGTTGGCTCTCGATTTGAACTACGTCGTCCGCAACCATTAAAATATTCGGTTTCTACAGCGACTCATTTGGCGCACATCATTCTCTTTCCATGAACCCTGTAAACCGCATTCACCGGTTCTAACTCTATAGCGGTTTACCCGAGCATTGCAATTCATTCGCTTTCACAAATGGCTTTCTCAACTCATTTATGCGTGTGCGCGGCACATTATTTCTTCT